TGTGTGTGTAGTGTTTGTTTCTGCTTACACAGTATGATGTCTCACCAGTCTTTGTCCGTCAACAGGCCAGCCTAGAGGAGAACAGGGAGCTTATTGATGGGATCACTGGCTTCGAGGACTCAGTCCGCAAGTGTAAGTTTCCACAGTGTAACACTGACTTTACAGAGACTCACACTGAGTCCTGCTTCATTTAGAGAAGTCTTGGCAGAGAGGTGTTGCAAGTGGAGCAGGTTACCAGCACAGTGGCGTCTGGTAGCCTGCTCCACACAGGGGCTCACACAGACACGCGCGCAGAGGGCTGGAGCAGCAGTATCGTCAGCCCCCCTCCGATCTGGCAGGACTCAGCGTTGTCTTCCATCGTGAAACGTCTATGGAAATGGCCTGCTGAGGTCTGCTAACTGAAATATTTTTTTTTTCCTTCTTCACTCTTCTGTTGCTCCTCTTTCTTTCTTGTCCCCTCCCACCTTCCTGCTGCCCCATCTTCCGGACCCTTTCTCTCTCTCTCTCCCCTGCCCACCCTCCCAGTCATCTGCCATGTGGTGGGCATCACCTACCAGAACATTGACAAGCGGCTGCTGGCAGAGATGCTGGGTGACCCTCTGGGTGAGATCTCCGCCCGCGCGCGCCACACTGATGACGCGGTTTGTTTCGAAATACAAGTGCACTCTTTCATCGTGCCCTTCGTTGGCTCCCACTGCCTAAGCTTTCCCTTTCTCCATGGCCCTGCGGTGGGCCTGGGCAGTCTTGTGCAGTTTTAGAATGGACTCGTGGTGATCGCCACTGGACAGGTGGCTGAGAGCAGCAGCCCTCAGAGGCTTCTGGGAAGTATGCTTTGAACGGGGCTTTGCTCTCAGAATCAGTAGAGATGACTACGACTACTGCAGATCACTTTCCCCCAGCGCATCGGGCGGAGAGGTGGCTCTGTGGCTCAGGATCTGCGCCTGTGGCTGGAAGGTTGCCGGTTCAAATCCCGCAGCCGGCAGAGGAATCCTACTCCGTTGGGCCCCTGAGCAAGGCCCTTAACCCCAACTGCTCCAGGGGCGCCGTACAATGGCTGACCCTGTGTTCTGACCCCAAGCTTCTCTCCCTGTCTGTGTGTCTGTGTCTCCCTGGAGAAAAGCTGGGGTAGGCAAAAAGACGAATTCCTAATGCAAGAAATTGTATAGGGCTAATAAAGAAACATTATCATTATCATTATTATCATTGTTCGTTTCAAAGAGCTGTCCCTTACCCAGGGAACTTTTAACTGTAATGGATTACTAATGCAACTCCCCAGCACTGTCGAATTGTGTTCCTTTTTAAAAATATCAGGAGTAAGGGGCTTCGTGATTCTGCACTGTGTCGTTTTTTTTATTTCCTTGTTTTTTCGGAGAAAAGCCAGTGCAGGAAAATAGAAACCTTACTTGCGTACCGCTTCCTGTTAGGATTTCAAAGTTGGCATCTGATCGCCGTTTTAGTGAAAGTCCCACTGAGTTAACTCTGTGGCTTGGGGACACTTTTGGAAGCCTGACCCCCCCCTGTGAAGCTGCCGAGGCCTTGCGGCACGCTGTGGTCTGAGCTTCTGCCTCCTGCGGTCCGGGAGCTGGGGGTCCGAGCCGAGGGCCTCGCCCTGACGCCTGCTCTCTCTCTGTCCGTCTCCGGCTCTCGCAGACACGCAGGTCAAGGCCTGGATGAGCAAGTATGGCTGGACAGAGAACGAGAGCGGTCAGGTCTTCATCTACAATCAGGAAGAGAGCATCAAGCCCAAGAACATCGTGGAGAAGATCGACTTCGAGAGTGAGTGACGGCCTCTCCTCTCCTGCGTGCCTGGTCTCTCTCCGCCAGTGTGGCACAACGCGTTTTGCTAAAACCTTCCCAGCCCTCCTGTTTTTCTTTGGGGCTCGAAAGGCTGTCGGCTCCCTGCTTCCCCTTGTCTGTACCTCTCTCTTCCAGTCTTTCTCGCCTCCGTCTTGTTTCTGCTTCCTTTGCCCCTTCAGTCTCTTCCTCCTCCTCCTCCTCCTCCTCCTCCCTGTGTTTCCTGCTTTACTCTGGTCAGCTCCTCTTTCTTTGGCCGTGGACCATGCTTGTTCTAGCAGTTCAAGCAGGGAGCTGGGTCAGCATGCGTAGGCTGCAAAGGGACAAGTCAAGTCAGCTCTCGGGACCGGCGGCCAGTAGCAGGGAGATGAGACCCTGTGCAAAGGAAGAAGTAGAGGTTTATTCCAGGCTGAAACGGAAAGAAACACAACGTTTCGGCTGTGGAGCCTTCTTCAGGTGTGTGACCATTCAGGAAGCATTCAGCTCATCTCTCTGCTATTGGCAGCCTGTCCCGAGAGCTGACTATGGCTGCCTTACAGCAATTATTGATTTTCTGAATCTGGAGCAGAAACTAAAATGTAGGTCTGAAATGTCAAATGGAAAGATCTCACTGATTCTTCCTCTTTTTGCGTCTTTTTCTCTAGGTGTGTCCAGTATCATGGCTACATCTCAATGATGGGTCCCAAATTCATCATCCCTTTCTCTCACACACACACACAGGACACCCTGCAGACTTCTGGATTTCACCCAGCGGCTTTCTGTGCTGGTACCCTTCTCAATAAATATAACTTATCTACAAAAAACAAATGCGTGGGTTTTTACTTGTATCGTGGGTCAAAGACCATACCAGAATTTGTGGGGAAAAAAAACATGTAGATTGTAATTTTGTTTTTAGGCTTTGCAACAAGGAAAGGTGCAAAACTAGAAGAGGCTCATCTGTCTGGCAGAAGGATTCTTGGGGATAGTCGGCATAGAGTAATGAAAGACATTTCCCCACAAAGTGAGCTCTTGGAACACATAGCAGCAGTGGATACACATAGATTAAGCAAAGTAGGGTATTTGGATTTTCCGAAGGTTTTTGATCAACCTTAGAAGTGATTCTTTAATTGCTGGAAAAGGACATACAAGAAAATGTGTATTTGGAAGAGTACAGATCAGGTGAATGCTCAGTTTGGGTTCGGTAATTAGTGGAATACCATTAATTACAGGTCTAAATACTGGTGTAAACTACTCTGGGCTCATTGAAGATGCTATTTTATATGATTAAAATATAGGTTTTTCGTCTATATATTACAAGAAAGATATTGCTTCAGTCCAGAAAAGAATCATCTTAAATGTATGCCAGAATCCTCAAAGTTATTGACAGGAGCCAGCCCTACTGGAACAAAACCAAAGGACACAAGAGGAAACTGTTGAAATGCATTTAAATCTGAGGAGGAGGTGCTTCTTTCCAGGGGGCTGAGGGGGTGTGGAATAAGCCGCTCAGCCATGTTGTTAGAGCTGATAACCCTGGGTTTGTTCAAGAAACAGCTGGAGGAGACCCTTCGATCGGTTAGCTTCTCGCTACTAAGTGTCAGCAGCTCCATCACCCTGCAGCTCACAGCTGGAGCCCATTGGAGCTCAGCAGGTGTGAGCCTGGTCAGAACCTGGATGGGAGACTCCTGGGAAAGCTGAGGTTGCTGCCGGAAGAGGTGTTGGGGGCCAGTAGGGGGCGCTCACCCTGCAGTGTGTGGGTCCTAATGCTGCAGTACAGCACTGTACTGTGAAAAAAGCACCGTCCCTCGGATGGGATGTAAAACCGAGGTCCTGACTCGCTGTGGTTATTAAAAATCCCAGGGCGTCTCTCGAAAATAGTAGGGGTGTTACCCCGGTGTCCTGGCCAAATTTCCCCCTGGACTTTACCAATCATGAAAAATTCTTGTTACACAAGCAACAAAGCAGATATTCTGTTGTACTGTTGGCTGTTGCTCTGCTGGCAGGCCCATGATGACCTCCCCACAAACTGCTTTGTCATTTCCTTCCCTGGGCTGATGGCCTTGTGACGGGACGCACGCTTAACGACGGATTGGAATGAAACGGGGAAAAAAAGAGGGAACAGGTGTTGTGGGTCTGGTGGATTCTCATGGGAAGCTCCGAGGATAAACAGTAAGCAGTGCGCATCCGTCAGATGGAGGAATACCAGCAGCAGCGCTGTCCGAGGGGCACAGCTCCCGAAAGGCACCTTGAGCTTGTGGCTGACCGGGACTCGAACGGCGGCCAGCCCTCGGAGGGACGTTCTCCGCTCGGACGGATCCACCAGCGGGGCTGCATTCTGCATCCGATTCCGATTCATTTGGATCTGCCGTTAAAGCCGAGGTGTAACGCACAAATGTTCAGATGCTCGTACCCCAGTTTCTAAGAGTAGGAGGGGTGTAGTAGTCTGCATCAAACGCGTGTATGAATGTTTAAAAAAATGCATTTCCGCCAGCTGGCTTAGTCACCAAATGAAATCAGCTCCATTCCCGTGAGACAGAAGATACGTTGGCAGGGATTCATGCTTTTGCACAATTGCTTTTGAATTTTCCTTCATGGGTTTTCCTAATGATGGCATTTGTATTTTTAGGAGTGGCTTT